AATAAACTAGAACGGAAGAAAAATGAAAGAATAGAGTCCTATGTTCACTAAATTAACTCACCTACCTATGTTCAATTAGCTCAACTTACGGATTAATCCTACCTATTTGTACGATTACGAAGAAAAAAAGTAAGGAAAAGAGGATAAAACATCAAAACAACAAATATTTGTATGTGTCGATGTATGTATGTATGTATGTGTTTGTGTGTGTACAAACTTTATATAACCGCGCAATAAATATCTATATAACCGTACAACAAAACTCTATATAACCGCGCAATAAATAAAACTCTAAATAACCGCGCAATAAATAAAACTGTAAAAAATGAAATCAGACGCCCCCGACCATGTGCCGAGGGACATCTGATCTGACATCAACGTTTTTTCGGCTTCTATTTATACTATTTTCTTTCATATATTTTCAACATTTCAGTCATTAGTATCAATAATATGCTTATTTGATGTATGCCAAACACTATTATACATGCACAACCACAACATATCAATTTGAACACCGAAGATGGTATAGGAATACCGAAATATTTTTTTCTGCTCTGTCATGCATAAAATAAACAGAAATTTTGGTTTTGAACTAAAGAAACTTGAAAATGATTTACAATCAACCGTTAGAAAAATCGAAAATTTAAATTGAAAGTTAACCAACGCCAAACATGCTGTGATTTTTATCATTATATATATATGTATTTATTCAAACATATATATTTTTATCTATATAACTTATATTCTAAACTACAAAAATTACGTATTCTATAGATCGTTTACATGAACGTTGAAATAGATTTTCGTTTATATAGGTCAGTTCACGTAAATGGAGCAGAATTTGTCTCCTGTTTACAACTAACCGCTGAAGTTTTTTTTTTCTTCTTGTAAAATAGAATTAAAATCGCTGTGTCTGTCGTGTTTCATTTCAAAAAGGACATCAACTCATGTTTTAAGTCTCCATTTGTTCTCTCCGATGATATGGATTTTCAGTTTGGTTCACATTTTGCTCTCCATTTGCGTTGATTTAGAAAATAAAATTTCGATTATCCTGTAGGTAGGTGGTAGGGTAGGGTCAAAATATGAATGATTAAGCATTAAGAAGACTATTAAGAAGAGATTATTAACTCATTAAGACTAAGAGTTAAGACAAGTTAATGTTAAGAAGTCTTTTTTTTCATTGGAATTGTTAAGCTTCTAGTGAATTTATTATTGAATCACCAGTTTGGAAGATTTGTTCAAAAAAAAATAAATATATTGTCTATTCTACCAACTAAAAATTAAAATTACTAATACTAATGACTTATCTTTTCAATTTATAATAAAATAAACTTTTCTTTTAATTTGTTTTATAATTTTTTTCAATAATAATTGTCATATTTGTAATTGTAATTTTAAATTTATTATTATTTTTTAACAACCTAGTATGAAGTGGTTGTGGTTTGTTATTATTTTTTAATTGTTACTAATTTTTGTATATTTCTTATTAATTTCTAATTAATTAAAATTAAAGAAGAAGTCTGTTGTTAGTAGTTAAATGATACTAAATGGCTAGAGTTATTTTTTTAAATTTGAAGAAATGAAAAATATGTATTTATTATTTATTTATCTTGAATCAAATATATACAATTATTTTATACTATATTGTAATATTGAATATATACAATTAATATTAAAAAAATCTTTTTTCAAGAGACATTAATAATTAAATGATAAGTATTGTATATATTGATAATTTAATTAATTTATTTTTAATTACTTAGTTAATCAAATCATTGATTCAGATACCAACAATCTCAAATCTGATACAACAAAATAATGTAAGTGAGCATATGTTTTTTTGAAAATTATTTTATTTTTTCAAATTTATGATTGAACTAATAAGAACTTTCAATAATATTAAATATTATTTGCATCTGGTAGATGTCTTTATGTTACTGCTTAGTTTTTCAATATAAAATAACATCTAATAAATTATAACATCTGTTTTAATTTGTCTTCTTTAATTTAAATGGCGAACTATAATTTAATTGTCTTTGAAGTATAAATCTCAAAATCATAGCATGTGCATAAATTCAAAGTTATAGATAAATTCAACTATTTCTCAGCTTTTTTTTCTTACTTATTTTTTTATTTAGTTTTTGGTGACCTATGTGTGTTTTTAGAAACGTTTTTCAATAGTAGTAGCTTTTTCTTTGTTGTTGCTATTGTTTAAACACATCCATGCTCTGAAGGGAAGATTTATTAAACATTCAATTGCACTCAGATTTGAGTTCTACCAATTTTTGTCTTCACTTTAGTCAATTTTTTTATTGATTGTTCGGATAATGTTTTTGATATTTATATATTATCAATGATATATTATATCATTAATAGATATTTCATACAAAAATGCTGTCAGTTATTCTTCCTTAGTCTTCAGCATAAAGTAATTTTTAGTTTTGTAATCAGTTCTTACTAAATTAGTACATATTTTATTGCTTCTGCTTCTACGATTTTTATTAATCAATCTTTCGATCAATTCATCTAAAAAGAAATTATAGATTAATAATAGTTTGTTTTTCAAGCTAATTACATTTTTTAAATATGTACAAAAATGTTTTCAAGTTATTTCATTTTTTTCGACCTAACATTTCATCTTGAGCCATCATTACCTCTTTTCAAATTAATTTTAGTACAATAGTTGCTGTAGAAATAACCTCTGAAGTAAATTGTAATTCTCCATTGCACTAACAAGTAGTGGTTTTTTAACATTCCAAGTGGGTTTTCTTCCAATGAATAGATTTTTTTTTCATTAACTCTATGTTTAAAACTTTTGATTTAAAAAAAATATAGGTTAAAATTAATTCAATGTTAATAGTTCATTGTTATCAATCTATAGTTCAGTTTAATTTAAGTAGAGTAATATTGTTTATGATTTTGTTTTTTGTTAATCTTAATCATGTTTAATTAATTAATTTAAGAAATCTTTGATTTCAAAAGTTGATCGCATAATGATAATTTATGAATGCTTCAGATTTATGGAAGCCATCAAGAAGGAGAGTGACCCACCAATGATGAGGACGAAGAAGGAGAAGAAGAAGGGCCCCATGCTGACTCTACCGCACCAAGAGTTCGACAACCTCACCATCACAGCTACACATCAGTTAGTTTGCTCTTTTTTGTCTTTATTATTGCAGCTCTGACTTACGCTGAACAACTTATTACAATGTTACATATATATATTAGCTATATAAGGGCTTTTCCTCTTCATTTGTTTCATATTTTTATATTTAAATTTTTTTCAAGTACTAGTTTAATTGTTTCTTTATCAGCTAATCGCTGCTTTAATGAACACACATTGTTTGACTGCTAAATGACATTCTATACATTTTGCTCATACTTTCACATATCTCGTTGAGTCAGTTTTTATGTGAGTATATTAATATATCTGTGTTGTACCATGTATGTTTGTGGGTATATTAATATATCTGTGTTGTGCCATGTTTGTATACTTTTTCTGATGTTCATTCTTCCATCATGTTCTTCCTTGCAAGCATTTGGGTAGATAGATGTTCTCATTATGGTGATTATTTCTTACTTGCCGGTATGTTTACTTTCACATGGAAATGCGTTCTTCACAACGTATGTCAAATCTATCTATCTATCTATCTATCTATCTATCTATCTATCTATCTATCTATCTATCTATC